GAGCCAAAAAGGTTGGACTCATGCACTAACTTCAGCAGCATGGTATCTAACACAGCTCCCACAACTTCAGCTTTTATTGACTGATCTCATTTTCACCCTTTTCCACAGAAGGGTACTTAGCGCCAGCATATCCTGATAAACATGTTGGGAAGGACACTGAGAGCTTCTACAAGTGGAACGTTTGACCCAAAGGCCCAATGAGGTATTTACACTACAGACAATAACTCAGCTCTTCCAACCTCCCCTTTCTGGAAGAGTTCCAAAGCAGCTGCCTTGGCCATCTCTAAACAATGGAGAATCTCTTACAGGGACTTACCCTCATGGGAGCTGTGTCTTCTTTTCCTGCTGTGAGGTTTTACAGGTGACCCTGGCACTTCTACAGGTTTGCTCACTGGCTCGCTTCCTGAAGTCAACTGGCTCTCTTCTGCCACTGAGTCACATTGAAGACTAGTATTCTCCTTTAAAAAAACACCAAAAAACCAAAGAGACAAAGAAATGAAGCCAAAGATCCCTCAGTATTTTCTTATTATGGCTGTAGAGACAAAACAAGAACTGTTCTCCACTCCAAATGGACACCCGACAAGTGCTGAGCGCTGCCTGGATGGTTTACATGGCAAGTGTTTGGAACTCGGAATTCAGGTTGCAAAACTGAAACTCGAATCCACAAAGTTAGAGGACATGTCCTCCCCGCCTGAACTTTGCCCTCACTTACCACACCAGCTACAAGAAATACGCTAGAAGAACTCCAGGAGCAACCTGTGTTGCTTGCTTTCTGGAGCCCTCTGCTGCTGCTCCAGATGTATTTTGCAGGCAATCATTTCCTGACCTGCTCCATTGCCATGGACATGTGGCAAAACTCTCTAGGGGGAAAAAAAAGAAAGAAAAAAGCCAACCAGCCAAGTGAAGTCTCTGCTCCACTGAGGAGGTCAAAGCCCAAAGTTAAGCACTTGGAGTTTATCTGTAGACAGAAAGACCTTCTATCACTTGTTCTAGAGTATGAATCTCTTCTGCAAATAGCCTATAGAATCAATACCCTGAAGGTAAAGTCAACTGTCTTCCAAGCCTGCAACGTTTCCTTCTAGTCAGGCAAAACAAAGCTTTAGACAACTGCTACGTGTGAGTTTACAGAAGACAGAAGCTCATCGCATGTGTTAATGAGGTACCAGTGATGCCAAACTTCACAGTCTCCACCTTGAGTCTGTCTTTACTCAGTGTTAAATATACAAAAGGTATATTTAGTGTATTTCTATACCATGCCTGTGTACAGTAATAGAAATACAGCCACATTCTTAGACAAAGTTGTGTCTTAACAGTCCAAAAGGCCTTTGCAAATAAAGAAACTGAACACTCTTGGGAGAGCCAGCACCCTCCAGAACACCCTCCAGAACACCTCCTGCTACTGCAGGATACCCACTGCACTGTGCTATTTGTTCTTGGAAACGTGCTGTCTGTATGTATGGAATGAGGACTGCCAACCAGGCCTTGTGAAAACCCTTTGGCTAGCAATGCCTTTGTCTAACAGCCGAACCACAACTCCTGGGTATAAAAACTAAGAGGAGGAAGGAGGACTGTACTTCACTATCTTCACCAGCCAGAGAGTGAGGAGCTAAACCTCTCCATTCCTGGAGACATTTACCTCTCTTTAGCACTTACCTGCTCTGCACTGAACAGTCCTTCCAGAACAAACATTTCAGGCGGCTGAGCTGGGCAGTGACCCAGTTGTTCTCTCCATTCTTCAGGGGCTTCCTGTGTGGCCACAGGTTCTGGTGCCATTTCAGCAGCAGCAACACGTTCTACAGATGCAGTGTCATAGGGAACAAAAAGAAGTTTTCCATCACAGCCTTCTGCAGAAGTTAATGCTTGAGCTGCTTCCATCAGAAATGATGTGTCTGCAGCTGCAGGAGTCAGGTGCCAGCTGACGTTCCTCAACGGCAGAAGGGGTGTTGCTGTTCCCACTATTAACCAGCAGTGGCTGACTTCCGATAGACTGAGGGGTTGACATCTCGCTCTCCACAGGTTCCAGTGTCACTTCTTCAGCGCTGGGTGGTAAAAGCATCTTATCCAGAATCTGAAGCATGGCTTCAAGACTTAATTCCTCCATCATCTTGTCTTCATCAGATGCCCCGCCAGAGGGCAGCCATTCAGCTGCAGAAGGTGGCTGCACTGGTGAACTCTGGGAGAAACAAAATACAGGGAACGTTTATACCACAAACTCACAATGATTGAGTAGTCAGGGCTGATGGTATTACTGTTTCTAAGGACTGTGCAGGTGGTTTTTGCAGGGCAGGATAAGCAATGCTGTAGCTGCCTCCATCCCTCAGCAGAAGCTTGGGGAAGTGTCTGCCCCAGAGCACACACAAGGTAAACTGATTATTGGCCAGAGCTCAGTGAGATCCACAGGCAAAGTGCCATCTTCTGTACCACCTGCACAGCCCTGCCACCCTGCTCCAGGAAGAATGATCCAGGCTACACCAGGGCTTGGAAACCTCAAGTCCTTTTGAGCCGTTATGTACAATACTCGCGTCGTCCTGCTCAGAGGCATCTCTGCCCAGATGCACCAGCAGCTTTTGACTGGCACTTCCCTGGTTGCAGCTGCATAATCCAAGCAACCACTAACCAGGAAGTGGTTAACCAGTAAGTTACCAGGCCATTTACTGGTTCAGTAACCAGTACATCTCTTCTGACTCCATGGACTTGCTTTTCCAAGCAACTGATTTTTACTAGGCCCTTTGGACAGTGTATTTCTGTTACCCTTTCAATCTAGCCACACCACCCTGCCTGACAACTCCTTTGGGACCATTTGCTATCCCAGACACTGATCTCAGCCTTCTGAGATGAGCAATTATGTGTTTGTGGCTTCCCAACACTCAGACTGATCCTCATGTCCTGCAGGTAAAAGCAGCTCACAATGGAAGTGTGAGGACAAAGATGCACTGCGTGAAAAAGAAATACCAGCCTATCAATGGCAGGACTGGCTGCTGGCTATTTCTAGCCTTACAGCAATGAGTTATCCTGGCCATAACCTGCCCAGACTGGTAAGCTCAGATTTAAAAAGAAAAACATGCAATAAAGACAAAAGGTTGATATTTGCAAGACAAGAAACTGGATGATCAGGCTTGCATAGGTCAACCCTTTTGCAACACACACGAGCAGAACTTGCTGTGCTTGTCCTCTGGGAGGAAAACAATCAAAAGCATATGCATGCTGCTGGAATGCAAAAGGAAGCCCTGGCATTTGTACTGAGGTTCTTTTGCTATTTGATAAGGCAAGACACCCAATAAGGGGCAATTGCCACCAGAATTCCAGAAAGCATCACAGCAAGTACTGGAATTCTCTTTAATAGGACATCTCTGAGGTGGGGCCAATTCCAAAAGTCACCTTAGTTTTTCTCATTCACCCAATGAAACTCAGGACTGCCGCAAGCTGTCTGGGACAGAAAAGTGCAGCTGGTTCCAGGATTTCCATAACATTAAAGAATCTCCTTTTGTTCAGGGAAGGACATTCTTCAAAGATAAACAGAGACTCGTGAACTAAAGAGAATTCTGGTGCAGTCAAACATAACACTTTTACAGGAACAAACTCTCCAGTGATGAGGACCCCCACGATGCTGCTGCCCTGACACCTTACCTGCATGACAGCACTGCCCCTGTCATGTTCAGTGCTGCTTTGAAATGGGGATTTGGAAACCCCATGACTTTCCCTTTCTCCAGCAGATCCATTCTCAAGCTTCTCTCCTTTCTGCCACAAGCCCAGAACCCTGCGGTCCATGTGTGGGCTCCTCCACTTCCCCCTGCTCTCCGTGCACTGCACTCACCTGCACAAAGCCACAGTCGGTGGACGCCGGGGACGCAGCACTGGCACTGGCAGTCAGAGGCTCTCCCTGGGCAGGGGGTGAACAACACTGCAGCGTGGCTGGAGAATTCAAACACAGGGGTCAGACTGCCAGCACTGGTGTCCAGGGTGCACAGTTCTATTGCTTACTTGGATTAACCACTGCAGTAACCACTCAGTGAGCTAAATGCCAGAAATGCATTATGACCTCCCCAGTGATTTTAAGACTGATTTCTTCACCTTAACACATATCGATTCTGACATATGTGTACGTAGATTACAAATACATGTTGTAAAATTGATCTACATGCTCAGAGAAACTTCATAGTCATGGTCTTCTGGATCTTAAGATCACCTTTTTCATTTGGCCACTTGACTGTCTCATTACAACATACCACAGAAAGTGGATTCACACAGGAAGGGCCTGGATGTTCACACTCATGAGTAAACAGTGGTTTTATTCCAAAAAGCAGCTTTGTACCTGAAGTTGTATTCTGCAGGTATTATTTTTTGGTGACTTGCAAAGATTTCTTCAAAGTAAAGGCATTATTTGCAGGACAGATAATCTTTACTGATGGGCAGTGTTAGCAAAGGCAAAGGTGCCAGTTTATTTGGAATATTTCAAGTCTCCCAATTGAATCAAGATTCCACAAACATACCTGCTGCACTCACACGTCTGTCCTACCCTGTGAATCGCAGAGAAGACATTTCTAAGCTCTTCTGCCTCTGCTATAGTTAATCTTGTCAGAGCCAGAAGAAATGAGCAGCTAAAGCACATTCTGTCACCAGCTGTTATCACGTAACGGACAGGGAAGAGGGATCTCATTTGAATGCTAATTAGAGAGGGATGAATGGCAGCTTACGGACTAAACCATCATTTACTGAATAAATGAAGGAAAAGATACAGCCCCTCCCATCAAACAAGATGGATTAGCCTCAACAGAGTTGTGGGGTTTGCCACAAAAGAGACACACTTCTGCCCATACAAACTATGGATGGAAAACTTCATTCCCTCTATAGGACACAACATGGAGGAAGTGAAAGAAACCCCATGCAAGTTAGCCTAACACTGACTGGCTGTGGCCAAATGGTTTTCTCCTCGCCCTTGAGCCTCCAAAGAGAGGACCTCTGGAAAATCACCAGGGGACCCTCAAAAGCTGGACCAAGGAGAGGAATACAAACCAGAACATCTTTGGGCTTTCACAGTCTCTCTTCCTTTTCTAGACTTGACTCTTGCTGTCTAATTCTCACCTGAGACACACACAGGGTAACAGACACTGGAGAAAAACATTTCATGTATCATTTTTCAGTAACTTCTTGAGCAGCAAGTGCGGAACTTTTGCCATACGTGTTGGATCGGGGGCTCGCGAGCACTGCCCTGGAGACACGCAGCTGCCGGGTGGTGGAAGGGAAGCGGCACCAGTTGAAGCCCCTCACTGAAGCGGCAGAAGTGAGAACACGGTCTGGAGAGTGTATGTGACCTCTGTGGAACACCTGTGGAGGATGGGAAAGGGAGACCCTTGGCTTGGAACAGCTGTGGAAGGCCCCTGCCCTGGCAGCAACCCCAAAAGAACCCTGCCATGGTCTGGAAGGGACTGGAGTCTGCTGGAAAGCCTTTGTTAGGAAAGCAGCGGGGTTCTGGCACGAGGCTGCTCTGCCCAAGTAAGGAAAGAAGGTGTCTGGACCACCAGGTTGATGAACCTGTCCCACAGTCATCAGTTCCACAAAACAAAGGGAAACAAGGGCTAAGGAAAGGAGTTTTCACTGGCACAGCAAGGCAGGATGAGGAGCCAAGGCTCCACAATGTTCTTTGGGAAGACCACCTTTGCTCCAATATTCTTAATCCAAAAACATACTCTATTCTTACACTTGAACATACAATAATATAACAGGCACGTCAGTGCTGTGCCAACACACAGTCGCCTGTGGAGCATTCAATCTCCTGAAACCCCTAACAACAAGTGATCAGCAGTTAGAAATGTGCTAGAAATCAAAAGGAGTGGTACCTGACTAAAGCAAGCACGAGGAATTCAGAAAGTGCTGCGAGCTACAGCAGGCAGTACATTAAAATAAAAGGGGAATCATGAAGCACTGCTTTACCAAAATCCAGTTTTGCTATTAATAATAATGTTTGATTATTATAATAACCCTGAGACACTAAGGTTAGGGATAGGACTAGGGTTATGAGCCATTAGGGATAGGGTTCGAGGCCATTAGAGTTAGGTTTAGGGTTACTGTTTGGATTAGGAGTTAGCATTATGGGTTAGGATTAGGGGACATAAGGGTTAGGTTTAGGGATTAGAGCTAGGGTTGGTATTAGGGTTAGATTTAGTGTTAGGGTCAAGATTAGGGTTAGTGTTATGGTTTAGGTTTATGGTAAGGGTTAGTATTAGGGTTAGGGGTTAGGCATTAGCGTTAGGCTTAAGCTTTGGTTTATAACAATTACCCATTAGTTAGACAGCTCATGGAGACACCTGACAGAAATCTCGGTGCCACGTCTCTTCTCCTTTGCATAGAGCTGACGGGAGGCTCTGGTTGTCACTGCACATTGGCCATTGCTTCACGCCGATTTAATGACGGCTGATGCACCGCGCGCCGCCCGGCACGGGACCGGCTTCATCCCGCGCTGCC